ACCTGCGTGCATTTTACGTACGGTGGCTGCCTAGGCAATGGCAATAACTTTAGGACCAAGGGGGAATGCGAGAAGGGATGTTCAGGTAAGCAGTTAACAAGACCGATCAAGATTGAGTTTGTCATTTAAAGTTTTTAATTTTCGTGTAGGCACCTTGCATTACCTAGGCAGGTGTCTTGTTATTAAGCTTCCTTAGTACACCGCTGTTTTATTCCATCTTTCATTTTATATGAAATAATAGGACGCCAAACATATTGTCGTCTCTTGCCCTTAAATCACTCAGCCAATCTTACTTCATTTTTTGTATTTTTAGGATCGAAGTATATCTGCCAATTGAAACCCTACTCAGGGCCGTGTATGGGCTTTTTTCGAAGGTTTGCCTATGATCCTAAACTTAAACAATGTGTCCAGTTTGTCTATGGTGGCTGCCAAAGCAATGGCAATAACTTTGAGACCAAGAATGAGTGCGAGAAAAGATGTTCGCGTACGTAGTCGACGGGATTTGTCAAAATTACGTTCATCATTTGCAAGTGTTCTTACTGTCATGTAGGTACCCTACATAACCGAGGGAGTTGGTTTTTGTGTGAAGCGTCCTAGGTACCCCACTTTTTTAGTCCGAATTTTGTTTTATCCAAAAATAATATGATGTTAAATTGATCGTCGTCTCTAGCTTTCAAATAACTCAAACTATCTTAAATAATTTTTCTTTGTATGTTTAGGACCAGACGACATATGTCAAGTGAAAACCGACCCGGGTCCCTGTAAGGCTCGTATACCCAGGTATTCCTACGATTATAAACAAGGCACGTGCGTAAATTTCACGTACGGTGGCTGCCTAGGCAATGGCAATAACTTTAAAACCAAGGGGGAATGCGAGAAGAGATGTTCAGGTAAGCAGTCAACGAGACCGGTCAAGATAAAGTTTGTCATTTAAAAGTTTTCAAAGTGTCATGTAGGCACCTTGCATAACCGAGGCAGGTGTATTGGTAAGAAGCGTCCTTAGAACACCACTGTTTTAATCCATCTTTCATTTTATCCAAAATAATAGGGCGGCAAATATACTGTCGTCTATAGCCTTTAAGAACCTCAACTCACCTTACTTCTTTTTCTTTGTATTTTTAGGATCGGAAGACGTTTGTCATTTGAAAGCCGACCGTGGACCATGCATGGCTATTCTGCCAAGGTTCGCCTATAATTCTTCACTAGGTATGTGTGTGAAATTCACGTATGGCGGCTGCCAAGGCAATGGCAATAACTTTGAGACGAAAGAGGACTGCGAGCAAACGTGTGCACGTAAGTTGTCAACGATGATAATTGTGGTCATCGTTTTCAAGTAAAGGCACCCTGCATAAGCCATGCAGGTGTCCTAATTTCAGGTATCCTACGTGCCCCACTCTTTCAATTTAACTTTGCTTTTGTACAAAAATGATATGATGCCAAATGTATCTTCATGTCAACCCCTCTAATAAGTCAACCTAATTTAGTTGTTCTTTTTTGTAATTTTAGGTTCGGAAGACATCTGCCGTCTGAAACCCGCCCCGGGGCCGTGTAGGGGCTTTATGCGAAGGTTTGCCTTTAATTATACACTGGCTGAGTGTATGGAATTCAAGTACGGTGGCTGCCAAGGCAATGGCAATAACTTTGAGACTAAGCAGCAGTGCGAGAACAGATGTTTACTCACGTAGTCGG